ACAAAATATCGCGATACTCACGTGTATCGATATTTTCTTACACCCTTAGTGTTTTGATGGTGTCTTGAGCGGATGCGCTGTGTTTTGCAGGTGATCAGCAACGCTCTGGGGGTTTGGGGTTTGGAGATCGTTCTGTTCAACAGCAGAGAGTACCAGCAGTTACTGATCGATCCCATGTGAGTCTTTCTGAGAGATTTATCTTTAGTGCTGTTATCCACTGTGTGACCGTTCATCCTCTTCATGTTTATTTTCAGACATGAGAAGGCCTTTATATGTAACTATAAAGAGCACTGGTTTACGGTGCGTAAGCTAGGACAGCAGGTACGTGTTTTACCCGCAGCATTAGTCTGAGTTAGTGTGAGATAATGTTCGAGTTTACGGACTGTTTCTCTCTCTTCATCTAGTGGTTTAATCTGAACTCGCTGCTGACTGGACCGGAGCTCATATCAGACACATACTTGGCTCTTTTCTTAGCGCAGCTACAGCAGGAAGGTAAAACACTCTTCATGGTGCTTCCACATGAGTGTCACAGTGATAATGCTGGAAATTGAGCTCAGCTGAATGTCTCTGCAGGTTATTCCATATTTGTGATCCGGGGAAGCCTGCCGGAGTGTGAAGCCGATCAGATTTTGCGGATCATGCGAGTTGAGCAGCAGCAGCGGCCCAAGCTGATCGGAGAGGATGAGGCCCAGAGGTGCACTGACTGTCATCACACAACATACAGAACAAGACAAGAATCTTCACCCTCCTCTTGTGTAGTGGGTCAGTTTGACCCACATTCAGTTACCTTTACAAAAGAGGAACAAAAATAATTAGCAGTTCAATTTGTAAACTGTTTGAAACGTACGTTAAAGTGTTTATTTCTTCTTGCTCATGAATGTGCATGCAGAGTTGCGACAGATATATTTTGGAAAGGCTGAACAAATTTTGATGACTATGATGATGTTAGAATTTTGCCCCATCAGTTTCCATACAATTCACCAGAAATCAACACTCTAAAAAACAGCTAAGAGTTTATTGTAGCTTGTAAAACATTAAAATATGAAATGAATGAGAACTCATTAAACTTAACACTCAAAGTTTACTTGAAATGGAAGCCTCTGGAAGAAATGGAAGTTTGAGTTTCACTGTCAAAAAGTCAGTGAAAGGATGTTTTTGGTAAATAGCTTTTCTGGATCTGAGTTACTAGTCTGTTTCAAATGTTGAAAATAAGTGTGATTAAACCCATTTTACCTTCACAAGGGTTTGAGAAGCAGACATAAGAAAATGTAGAGGCTATTTACACAAACTAAATAGCAGTAAGTACTATTTACACCAATTACCAATAATGTTAGATATGATTTATACTTTATTTGTAGTCATTTGCACCTCAGTAGACAAAAATATTTTTAATTTGTGCTTGTGCAGCTAATTTTAACAAAATAGCAGTTCATAATTTTTAATATTTAAAATTTAGTCTCTGACAAGCTACAGTAGGGGTTTTATGTAAAAACATGACTTTTGTGTTTTTCGTAGTGTTGTTTTTTGGCAAATTGCATGGAAATGTCAATGTGACCCACAACACAAATGTAGTATACATAATTTCAGCACAACAGGAGGGTTGAATACAGACAGTAATCCACGGCTGCATGTGCATCAAATGATTTCAATGCATGACACAGAGGAAGAGAAGCACGTGATGCACACACAGCCCCGCTCGCGTGCAGCTGTCACTGATGGGTTTGAGCGTGTGCTGTTGATCAGGATGTCAGTGCAGCAGACGTCAGACCCCGGACACAC